GGCTGTTCTTCACTAAAATGAAAACTCCTTAAGGGGCAGTGATGAAACACTACACATGCTGACATGTCCTCCAAGACCCCACCCGACCCCCAGCACAGCAGCAGCCTTCCAGTGAGATTCTTTAATAAATAAATAAGAGATATTGCTTCCTGAGAGACACATCACCCGGGACTCTGATCTCACACATCCGAATCTCACTTTGATACCAACAGCCCGGAGTTGTCTGCGGTCATTCTCACTTACGTCATCCAACAAAGTCCTGGTCTGAAGCGTCATGTCGATGAAGAAGGAGCCCAGACCTTGCCCCTGCGTCTTGCCCAGGATGGTGCTCAGGCCCTTCAAACTCTCGTGGATGACCTCAGAACTCACAGGATCGTAGAGCCCCTGCACCAGCACATCCAGGACAACCTTCTTGCTCTTTCTCACCTGTTATCAAGGGTGGAAAGGCACAGACAGGGTTGCACAGGTGTGGAAAGGCAGCTCTACTTCTAATTCCCCAATAAGCATGCACCAAGAAGCCATGCCTTCCCTTGGGATCTGCCACCGCGATTCTCATTCAAATACCAATGCTTCCGTTCAACTACAGGGTCATGTCTTGCAGGGGTCAATCAGGGCTTATGGAGGGAGAAGAAACAGAACAGTGTAGAGCAGGGTTCAACCTTCCTAATGCTGCAACCCTTTCACACAGTTCCTCATGTGGTGGTGACGCCCCAACCATAAAATTATTTTCGTTGCTACTTCATCACTGTCATTTTGCTATGGTTATGAATTGTCATGTAAATATCTGATATGCAGGATGTATTTTCATTGTTACAAATTGAACATAAAGCATAGTGATTCATCACAAAAACAATATGTAATTATATGTTGTGAATTATTTATTCCTAATGGCAAATCAATGAAATTTTGTCTTGAAGCATGGTGTAGCATGACAAACAGTCTTCACACCGGGTACTCGTATGTGGGCATCTCTGCATGTGAGTGGACCCACCTGGAGACGGATAAAGGACCGGTGTCTCCATTCCTAATACCATTGGAAATAAGTGTTTTCCAGTGGTCTTAGGCAACCCCTGTGAAAGGGTCCTTCAACCCCCAAAGGGGTCTCGATCCACAGGTTGAGAACCACTGACCTAGAGCATGGTCTAGACTATGGGAGGGGAGGGGAGGCAGGGGTCCTTCGAACCTCAGTGGGCTAAGGACTATGGCAATACTGACACCCTCATGGTGAGCAGTATTGGCAGATAGAAGTCATGACCATGAAGAAGTCCCTGCCTAAACTCACACATCTTCCACCAGCTGAATTTTGACAAGGATACTAAGTCCATTCCACGGGCACACGCGGGAAAAGGAAACAGGATCCACGTCTGGACCAAACACTCACACAGAAAGCTCAAATAGGTTACTCAGAAAGCTCAAATAGATTAAGAACTCAAATGCGCAAACTGAAAGCATACAATTCTTAGAAGAGCAAGCAGGGACCACGTTGCCGGGCGCAGCCCTCCACAGTGGACCGCCTACAATGACAGCAAAGGCACAGACAGCAAAGACAAAAGAATCCAGGGGACTTGCTCAAAACTGAAAACTTCATCAAAACCGAACTCACTGCCGTCGAGTCAGTGCCGACTCATAGCGCAGGGTAGGTCTGCCCCTGAGGGTTTCTGAGACTGTCACCCTGTAAGAGAGTAGAAAGCCCCATCTTCCTCCCAAGGAGCTGCCGGTGGTTTCGAACTGCCGACCTGGTGGGTAACAGCCCAGTGTGTAACCACTACGCCACCAGGGCTCCTCAAGTAAAATGTAAGGGGCAAAAAAAAGGGAAAATTAGTACCTACCTTGTTGTGAGAGGAGGCCTAGTGGCGTAGGCTGCTAACCACCAGGTCGGCAGTTCAAAACCACCTGGGGCTCTCCCCAGGAGAAAAACGAGTCTCAGAAACTCCCAGGGGCAGTTCTACCCTGTCCTATAGGATCACTATGAGTCAACATCAACTCGATGGCAGTGAGTTTGGTCTGGTTTGGTGTGGTTTGCTTGTGAAAGGCCATGGGCAGACAGCAGTGGTGGCCTCTAGGATCAGAGCCAGCCAGGATCCAGGACCCCAGTCTTCTAACCGGAAGGAATTCGGTTCTGCAACGAACACTGGGCGTGGACGGAGACCTCCAGCTTCTGAAGGAATGGCAGCCCAGCTGACACCTGGATTACAACCCTCTGAGACCCTGAGCAGGGGACCCAGCTAGACGTCTGGACCTGGCCTCCTGACCCACGGAAACTGGGAGACCAATATAGGTAGCAATGAGCTATGCAGCAATAGCTAGCCAGTACATGCAGTACCCGAGGCCCGCGCTCAGGAGGGCACACCTCTGGCTTGGAGGTGGGGTCCAAGGCACTGCCTTTCCTACCTTGTCTGGGGTTTCCCAGGCCAGAGTGGCCAGCCCTTTCATGGCCGTGTGCCGCTTCTTAGCACTGGGGTCCCGGGCTTTCTCTGCCAAGACGGAGAACATGTTCTTCAGAGGTTCCCGCTTCTGGAACTTCAGCTTCCCTGAGACCTGTGGGCAGGAGGGTCAAAAATGCTTTACCTGAAGGCATGCAGTCATGTTCCACATCACACCAGTCCCTCCCTCTAAACCAGCGGTTCTCAACCTGGGGGTGGAAGGACCCCCTTTCACAGGGGTCGCCTAAGACCATCGGAAAACATAACTATTTGACAATAGATAATTACATATTGTTTTGTGATTAACCACTATGCTTTAATTAGTTTATGTTCCATTTGTAATCATGAAAATACATCCTGCATATCCGATAGTTACATGATGATTCATAGCAGTAGTAAAATGACAGTGATGAAGTAGCAGCGGAGATAATTTTGTGGTTGGGGGGTCACCACCACATGAGGAACTGTATGAAAGGGTCACAGCATTAGGAAGGTTGAGAACCCCTGCTCAAAAGAAAGCCCTCTGGTGGCTGGCTCCATGTCACCCGTCTTCCTCCACCTAAAGATGTCTGGTTTTGTTGGAAATCGATGGCTTTGATCTAATCACCAGATAGTAGTTTGGACATGACTTCATAATGTATATTGGTTAGGAATTGCTTGGTTTGATCTAAGGAATGAAGAAATTGATGGCTTGGAGAATGATGAAGAAAGATGCCCTAATACAGCTGTGGTTGTGAGTAGATGCCGAAAGGAAGGGCATTTTTATGGGTTGGATTGTGTCTCCTCAAGTTACGTTGACATCCTAACCCTGTACCTGTAAATGTGACATGGGTAGAAAGCAAGCACTTTGAAGACAATGGAGTTTCCTTAACCCGAGGTCTTACTGGAGTTGGGCCCTGATTCTACATGACTTGAGTTGTTCGCTGGGCTGCGAACCCCAAGGTCACCCCCTTGAAGCCACAGACACTCCAAGGGAGTAGCTAGTCTGGTAAACAGTTAGTCTCGGCAGTAACTGGATTAGTGGTTCCTTGGGGGCTTGGCAGGGGAGGTGAAGAGCTAATAACAAGGAGTACAAGAAAAAAGGAAATGTTCTGAAGCCAATGGTGGCAATGATCGTACAACTCTTCTTTATATGACGGAACTATTTAATTGTATGATATATGGATTATGTCCCCATAAAATTGTTGGGGGGGCGGGGGAGTTCCAGACTCAGAAACCCACAGGGGCAGTTGTGCTCTGTTTGATAGGTTCCCTGTGAGTCAGATCGACGCAGTGACAGTCGGTTTGGTTTTGGTTTAGCGAGCTGTGGGGCTGGATACTGTCTCCAGATCCCTCTGTGTGCCACAGCCTGATGGAGAGTGGGTGATTCCCAAGCGTCAAGATGAATCCTGAAGACTCGTGCTCATCACCCTTCATTCGATTATCCGTAAGTCAGCAGCAAGCTCGAGCCCCTGCATCATCTTCTTGTCCTCGCAGAGACAGGTGATCCCAGGAAAGTGAACCATCGAGCAAGAGGATCCAGGGCTGTCGGGGACGCGGACAGAGGGAGACCCCGGGCCAAGAACCCAGAGCAAGGTTTTGGTTTGGGGACAGTGAAATCATCGTGTCTCATCCTGTAATGGTGGGCATTACACTTTTGTCACAACCCACAGGGCTGTTCAACACAAAGAAAGGAAAGGACAGCGTTTCCTGCATAACAATGTGCTGATGCTGGCCCATCAATGATAACCAACCTAAGTACTGCCCCGCCGCTGCCACGGAGGAGACACGGGCGGTGGGGACAGGGCAGCGCATGGCCGCTCTCTGAACTTTCTGTACAATGTTCCCATGCACCCATGCTTTCAAAAAAAAAAGCACAACACAAAGCCTGCTTTTTAATGAATACATGAATAAATGTTTTTAAAGAACTGCACTGACGAATGGGAAATTCATTTGCCCTGCCAACTTTCCCTCAAACCATAATAAAACGTTCAAAAAGAAAAGGAAAAAAACGGCCCCTCGTGTTTGTCAGCAGGAATCTCAAGCCAGGCAAACCCACAGTTTGCAAATTGGCTCAGGAGAGGGACCTCTGTTTATCCTTGGGGGATCAAACCTTGGCAAAGAGAGACATCAGGGGTGTCCTTTTCTTCTTGGACTGGGAGGATGGGGTGGGAAGGGGCTGTCCCTGGGTTCTCTTTTTGGCTTGATCCATGGAACTGAAAGAAGAAGAAGAAGAAGAAATCATCTCATGAGCCCACAAACATATTTTCAATCACCGTCTGTGACACGCGTTCTTCCAGGGCCGGAAGCGAAGGCAGCTGCCGTCCTGCCACCCTTCTTCTTGAAAGAGCTTCTCACCTCGGTGCCTCCCTGCGGGCTAGGGTCAGTCCGTCAAAGGGAAAAAGACATGACCATTGGAAGCAGCCTAGAGCCATGCTTGCGTGGCGAGAGAGGGCCCTGCCCTCCGGTTCACAGGTCAGAATCACCAAGCAACGCAATGCAGACTCCTGGGACGTGCTAATGGTTTCTACTTGAACACGTACCTAAAGGTGGGAGCTTGAATTCTCCCATGGTGGCGTAATGGTTACAAGTTAACCACAAGACCAGCAGTTCAAAACCACCAACCACACCTCAGGAAAAAACGGAGGGGACTTTCTACACCATAAACAAGAGTTAGAGTCTCAGGAAACTGACAGTCTCTAAAACCCACAGGGGCAGTTCTACTCTGTCCTACGGGCTCACTATGATTTGGAATTGATTCAACAGCCTTGCATTTAGTGTTTGATTTGGCGGTGGGGGCCAAAGAGGGGGTGATATCAGAAGAAGCCCTGGCAATGGGCTTCCGTAAAGACTACAGCCAAAAAAACCTGACGGGGAGGATGGGGGCAGATTGGAACCCTCACAGACATTGGGGAAAGCAGTGTGGCTGTTTCTGAAAAGACTACAAATAGAACTACCAGGATTCCAGTGCCCAGTGACCTGAGAGAGGGCTTTCGGCACTGTCACTCTTCATGACGGCCCACAGACTCTCTCTTCTCCTGCAGAGCAGCTGGTGGGTTGGAATGGCCGACTCTGTGGTTAGCAGCCCATCGTGTATCCCACGCCACCACCAGGGCCCCTTTAGAACCACCCTCTGACCCACCAACCCCACTCCGAGATACAGAGGCTCAAAAAGAGACTTGTACGCAAACGTTCCGTGCAGAGCTATTCAAATTAGGCCCGGGGTGGAAATAACCCAAACACCCCAAAACACAGAAATGGATAAACAAGAAGCAGTACATCCAATGAAGTAGTCCTCAGCCAGCAGGAGACACGAAGTGTCAATACATGTGATAGGAGGGATGGTGTTTGAAATCAATCAACCAATCATGAAAGGATAAATTTGAGATGTTATTTCAACCAGGCAAATGTATAGAGACCATAGTTTATTGGTGGTCACCACATTGAGAAAGGAGGGGAGAGAGGGCGTGATTGTTCATGAACTACCTAGTTTGCACATACAGTGCTGAAAATTTGCATTGGTTAAGGGTAGGGTTAAGCAACCAAGTATCAACATTGCTAACAAGAAGGTGCACACCTGTAAAAAGTTGAATTGACGAAAGTGTGGGATAGATATATTTACAATGACATCACCACCACCACCCCAAAAAAAGAACAGCTTATGTACAAGCAAACTTCATGGGGTTTTGGATTCTTGGCTAGATGGTTTGGGGTCATAGTTTGATGGGCATCCCAGTTGACAGGTCTACTTCTGTGTTCAGTGCTTCTGTTCTACATCAGAGTTTGTTGCACGGTGACTGGGGTCTTAAAAACTTGTAAGGAGTCATGCGAGGCACAAAAATGAATCTCCCTTTGCCTGGGACAATAGAGGAAGACAGACAGGAAGCCTCCCGGATGTCTTCTTAAAACCAAATAGTGGGTTCACATAACTAGCATCGTGCCCTTGTAAGAAGCATCCAGATGTGATCAGGACAAACTGCAGCTCAAAGTAATGAAGCGGTTACTGTTCATGGGGGAGGAATGATTCTGGGGGGCGGGCTGAGAATGGTTGCACCACTGGAAGGCCGAAATCAATGTTCTGAAAGTGTACACGCATAACGGTCGAGTTTGTGTGTGTGTTGGTGAGGATGTCCTCAACACCACGACCAACAACAAAATAAAAGTGTTTTTAAAATAAAACCCTGTGGGTCCGTTCGACTCCATCACACACGGAGTTGCCATGAGTCGGAGACGACTCTGTGGCAACAAGTTTAGTTGGGTTTGGGCCCCAAGTTAAATGAGTTGAAGCAGAGAGCAGCCTTGAATTGTGTCTTTTCAGAGCTCCCCCAGAATGTACACAAATAGTCTTTTTGGAGGAGGTTTTGGTATTGTTGTTAGGTGCCATCCAGCTGGCACCAACTCACAGCAAGACACCACTTGGTCTTGTGCCATCCTCATTGTTGTTCTTAGGTTTGAACTCGTTGCTGTCGCCACTCTGTCACTCCTTCTTGTCGAGGCTCTTTGTCTTTTTCTCTGCCCCTCCACTTTACCAAGCACGATGTCCTTCTCCAGGGACTAGTTTCTCCTGAAAACACGTCCAAAGTTTAGCCACCCTTGCTTCTCAGGAGCGGTCTGGACTGTCCTCGGGAAACCCCTGGGGCTTCCAGTTGCCTTCACCAGCACCAGCACTCAAAGGCGTTGATCTTTGTTGATTGTCTTCATTCAATGTCCAGATTGCACCTGCATTGTGGTATTATCGCTCACAGTCTTAAAAGGGGCATCCTCCTCCACTCGACAACGTTTTCATCCCACAGGTATCGCCTATCTCAGAGGTTCCCATCACAAAGGCCACTAGAGCAGAGTGAGAGAGCCCTGGTGGCAGAGTGGGTGGAGACCAGCCCCACAGTTGCGAGCACCCAAAGGGCAGACAGAAAAGGGGGCGCCAAGGGACTCAAGTCCATTCTCGGAAGAAATGAGAGAAGGGAGAAGAGTCCAGAGTTTATTCAACAATGGGCTTTTGTAGCTTTTTTTTTTTAATCATTTTACTGGGCTCATACAACTCTTATCACAATCCATACATCCATCCATTGTGTCAAGCACATCTGTACATTTGTTGCCATCATCGTTCCCAGAACATTTTCTTTCTACTTGAGCCCTTGGTATCAGCTCCTCAATTTTCCCCTCCCTCCCTCACGAACCCTTGATAATTTATAAATTATTATTGTTTTTTCATGTATTACACTGTCCAATGTCTCCCTTCACCCACTTTTCTGTTGTCCGTCCCCCTGGGAAGGGTTATACATAGATCATTGTGATCGGATCCCCCTTTCTCCCGCAGCTTCCACTTACCCTCCGGTATCACTACTCTCATTATAGGTTTTAGTACAATTTGTGGGACACACCAGTCTTGCGGAGTTTCTGGTGCTGGGATGGGTGGGATGAAGCCTGTTTCATCAGCTCCATGACATTATACAGGCCCCCCAACTAGATTGGGCAGCACACCCTAAAAGTAGGATATAGTCTTCCCACCAAACACCAGAAGCAGAAAATTTAAGTCGGCACTCTATGACCCACAGGTCATGAAAAGGCTAATTGTCATGATGAAATAGATTATACGTATATTACAACTATAGGATAGTGACTGTACAATTCTCAATAGTGTCAAGCAGATCTACTTGTGTTAACATGATCACCAAAATACAGTGTTAAGGGAAAATTACCAAACAGTTTGTACAGCCTTTGTGCAAAAACCAAATTAAGGAGATGTGGAGTTACATAATCTCCTGTCACCTTGCGAAGCGATGGAGTCTAGCCTGTCAATCAGGTCACAGCTATTGAGGCCTCTGTGTGGGCATGGCCTTCTCCTGAGGATTCTGGGAACTCAGGTCTTCCTCCCTGGAGGTGGGACACACTCTCTGCTTTGTCTTCCTGCTGACAAGACACATGGAGTCATGCTGATGGCAGCCAGAGCCTTAGAGCTGAAGGAGCCACATGGAGATCCACGCCAGGGCTGGAAACCACCACTGGATCCACAAGACTTTCCACCTACTGGCCTGTGATCTTCCTGCATTCAACATCATTGCATGTGTTTTGTAAGTCCGAAGAGGAATTTATAGACTGGTATCAGCCATATGGGATAATATCAGACGTATGGACTTGATCTGGACTGGAGCGGGATGTTTTCTTAATATACAATTGCTCTTGTATATAAAGCTCTTTCTTATACATCTATGAGTGTCTATGAATTTGTTTCTCTAGGCAACCCGAACTAACACAGGAGAGAATCAATATATACATGTATGCTTGCATATGTAGGGAACAGAGGAAAGTACACAAGAAACTACCAAAGATTGCCTCTGAGGTAGAAAACTAAGGGTTTAAGGTAGGAGGGAGACTTACTTTTTGCATTTTTAAAAGATAAGTGTTTCCTAATTATAGCATGTTCGCGTATTGCTTAACGTATGTATTATAAAGCAGTGTGGCTCCCCAGCTGATCCACAGCCTCATTTGGAGTCCACCTGGGGAAACCAGAGTCCTGGGTGGCACCAACTGATGACACATTCAGCCGCTAGCCAAAAGGTTTGAGGGTCAAGGGGGAATCATTCACAAGGATTAACATATAACCCCCACCCAGGGGGAAGAACAACGGAAAAGTGGGTGAAGGGTGACAGAGGACGATGTAAGATCTGAAAATAATCATCTGCAACTTATCAAGGGTTCATGAGGGAGGGAGGCAGGGGAGGGAGGGAATAAAAGGAGGAGCTGATGTCAAGGGCTCAAGTAGAAAGAAAATGCTTTGAAAACGATGATGGCAGCATACGTGCAAATGTGCTTGACCCAACAGATGAATGCATGGATTGTGATAAGAGATGTAAGAGCTCCCAATAAAAGTATTTAATTTAAGAATTTAAAAAGGAAAGACATCAAAAGGTTTAAGGGTCAAGTTCACTCAAGGTGCTGTGGGAGAAAAGCCTGGCAGTGTATCCCAAAACATCACAGGGAGCTACGTGTGGCCTCCTCTCTGGGGGACGGGCAGCGGAG